CAGATCTGCTTCTGACAATAATCAATGAACTAAAAATGTTGAAAAGATAGAATGTTGATGGACAAAAGTACCTAGGAAGAGTCTGCAGCTTCCTTAATCCACAAGGAGAAAAGCTCTCAAGTTACTGGTGTTCTTGTTCTAGCCAGTTTGCTGCCCAGAACTCCAGGCAGTGGATAGGAACAAAACTCCAAGATGGCACCAGGCTGAGGTGGGGGCATTGCCTGCCAAGAGCAAGCCACTTGTCATATTCCCTGCCCCAAATTCATTTTTGCAACCACTTGTGACTCTAGCGTGATTCCAGGAAGCATTCCCCAAAGCAAGCTGCTGTGTCATTCATTGCCCAATAATTTGAAAACAAAGTAGGAACAGTACTCTTGAGAGAGAGAGAGAGAGAGAGAGAGAGAGAGAGAGAGAGAGAGATTGAAGAGGATATTGATGCCGGCAGCCGAGTTAGATAGAAATATTATAGGCAGTCAGACAGGGTCAGGCCCTCGAAGGAGACAGCACAAAAGACAAGCTATCTTGCAACTCTGGGAGGGATGGATGCTCCTGCCCTGGGCCTGGGCCAGACCTAAAGACCAAAGATCAAACAAATGCCGACCTCCCTAAAGATTGGCATCTGAGATTGATCATCACCCTGAGGGAGACCAAGAATCATTAATCTGAGTTAATCTGACTACTACTGGATGGCTACCTGATAAAGTCCTGTTCTACATTCTTGCCCCCTTGCTACTTGACTCACTTCCCCATTTGTTCCTGAACTTAATCAATTTTACCTGAGCAATGGTGCTTGTAATCTCACTGGCTGAGCAAAGTTTTGTCCCACCCCACATCCACCTAAATTGCCCCGCATGGTTTTATTTTTATTTTTTTTATTTTTTAATTTTTATTTATTTATGTATTTTTGTGTGTGTGTGTGTGGCCAGTTCAGCCCACCAGGGGGCGGGGCGGGCTGGCATGTGGTGCTGGGGATTGAACCGCGGTCCCTGTGCTTTGCTTAGCTTATTTCAAGTAGGTGCTTTAGACCACTGAGCCATCTC